TTCTTTTTCTTTTTCTTTTTCTTTTTCCTTTGCTGTCCTATAATGTAGTTTTCATCTGTAGATACTAGTACACTGAGATCACTGTCAAATAAAATATTGTATTCTTTTGTAAAACACTGTCTCTAGCTTACAAATAAGTAAATGAAGGCACAGGGAAGAAAATAGACTTTTTTGTCCCCTGAGGTAATCCAGTAGACTGCTTGGCAAAATGAGTAGAGCTCAGGTCTCTCAAGTTCAGTGGCTCAAGCAGTCATTAAACTGCTTGTTTGACAACCACAAAAGTAATTACTTAATATTTTAAAAATTTAACCCTCAAGTTTGCTAATCTATGAACTTCACTTCCCTGAAGCCAATTTTAGAATAATTTACTGCAACTCTTCTGACCTGTGAAAGGGGACATTTGCATGCAGTATAGGTGGACACTTGGCACTTTCGTTTGGAATTTTACAATATGCTAATATGTTCATATATAACAAGTAGATAAGGCTTTATGTAGTAACATCCTTTTTCTGGTCATAATCTTGATCCTTTGAATACATATGAAGGTGTTTCACCTGTTTCATACAATGTGGTTGTTAATAACATACTTCATATTCCTCTTTTCTCTTGTTCTACTTTTTATCTTCGTTAATTTTCTGTGACAGAAGTTTCTGACTCACATGGGAAAGGCCATCATCTAAGTTAGGGAGATGGCAATTTAGCGTGCTGAGAAAAAGATCCAAAGCGAATCGATAGATTCGTGATATATCCAGACAACAAGATATTGCTGCAAAACAGTGGGTTGATGTTGATTTCAGGTGAACTAGCTGGGTTGCCAGGAGCAGTGTAACTGGTTTCACTCAGACTGAGGATCGCACTAGGCAATGTAGCTCATAGACAGGCTTGGCTAACTCTGCATGGCACTGCATTGTCATTCTGTTGATGAGACAGAGAACAGTAGTTACATGTGAGCTTTGATGTAAGTGTGAAATGACTAATTCTAAAAAGCATTTTTTCTGATTTAAAAAAGAGAGCCTGCTACAGAACTGTGTTGCTGACCTTGGTCCTAAAGTAATAATTTTCTTAAATCTTTGTAAGTATAAAAATCTGATACACACATGTGTTTAAAATCAATAATGTGTAAAAAGAAACACAAGATGCGCTCTGCTGAATTTTCATGTTAATTCATGTACTTTATTTCACAGGCAAAAAATCCCAGGCAAAAGCAGATCACTCTGTGGCACGTGATTCAGCCTCATGACGTTGGTACTTTAATTAAAACAGTGGAAAGTCAGCATGAAATCTTTTGTTTTACAGAAAGCAAGAAGAATTGAGGTTAATTAAAGGTTAATTAGAGTTTAATTGCTAGTTTTGGTTTTTTTTTCCTCTTCTGGTGATAACAGGAATGTTAGAATCCTTGACTTTGATGGCAACAGATTGGGCAGGCCTGGTGTTGATTGCTACTGCCAACATGAAAGTGGTGCTGCAGTTCTGCAGCTGCAGTTCTTAATCAATGAGGTAAGGACATACTTGCTCAGATTCTTATGTACAAATTTAGTTGAATAAATCAATTTGTATATTGTAATGAGTGATATAACGTTTCACATTGACAAATTGTGTGAACAAGCAAGTGGCATATATCCAGAGGGCATTCACCTTATAGCCTTTGAGAAGGCTATTTATGACACTGCAAACCTGGAAAAGTATTACTTTCATACACATGAGTATAAAGTACTAAACAAAAGGCAGTCCGTATAGGAATGTGTGCTGGTAGATGTAAAGTCCATTAAATTACTAAATATTCTGCACAGTCCTGTTTCAAATAGAAATTAATAAATTAGCTAAATCCCTCAATATTTAGGGATATGCTACTACTTGAAGCAGGGAAAAAATGTTGCAGGGGTCATCAGTCAAGCCAGGATGTTTAGTCTTTGTAAGTGGTTTGTTGCAGTCAGGTTTAGATGATGCAAAGAAACAGTGATAGATTATATCTTACTCTGTGCAGAAGACCTCTGGAGGTGGTAATAGGCAAGAAGACTTTCTGGATCATCGAAATCTGTGTTTTTTTCCTAGAATCTCATAACCTGGCGAGATTATAAGTTAGTCTATAGTTCAGTTTTAATTAATTTTCTCCTATGTTGGAAGAAAACTTTTGAGAGTTTCAGGTCTTCTTTCTAAGCATGGAGATCTTAGAGCTTCTCAAAGAAAGAGATTTATTGTTGTCTTTTCTTAAATGTAAGAAATACTTCTTTTTTTCTACATCTTTTGGAGAAAGTACCTGAACCACAGAAACTGAGAAGAGAGAATTGAAACTTTCAAAACAATCAGTCCATGTAATTTTTTAGAGAAAAGCAGGGATGAAAACAGGGAGGCCAAGGTTTGAATTGGTGTTTTGTCTTTTCATTAGATGAACAGCAGAAGCCCTAATACTGGGATTCATTTGATTTTTGTGGCAGAGATTCTCTGACGTTGGTCCAGATTCTTTGGGAGATGAGAATTAAGGCATGGATTACACTGTATTAGAGAAGTCTTACCTTCATATATTTCCTTTGCCTATGTCAACATTGAAAAGAACACTTGCTAGGATTAGGAAGGAAATCCAAGATGCAAAAAGAAAAGTTTATCTGCCAGTCATAGTTGTTATAAACTGATCTTTCAGTTACATCCTCACCCTTTCTCAGAACAAAGCACTGCCTTCTATTTGGGCAGTATCTAGTTCCTCTCTGCCATAGTAATACACAGGGATAGATCCTTTGTACTAAACCTGATTTGAGATGTAAACGTAGTAAACTGCCACAGCAGCAGCAGAGAGCATCATCTGCAGTCCATTTTCACCTGGCATCACTGTTCTGTGTTGAGGAAAAAGATAGTAGGAAAGAGGTAGAATAAGTTCACTTCAAGCTGCCCAGGCAGAAAGAGGCCCTGGACCTTAGGAGATGTCCATTTTGGGGGCACCAGAAGTAGAACCGGTCTTTAGAGTACTTCTGATCTGTGATAAATACTCCTTTTATCTACATCTCTTAGCTCTTCCTAGGTCCTCTCCTCTTGCTACCTGTACCTACCTTCTTGTCTGTGTCTTATTTTTACAGTTCTGGTTTTGAATTTCATGCTGACCTCATATGACTACTGAATTGTGCTTGTGTGTATGTGTGCGCACTAATCCCTTTATCCTCTAGTTGTATCCTTTTCAGTCACCTTTTTAAGTAAGTGGTGTCTGTTCTCTGTTTCGTTAATTTCTATGCTTATGTGGAAATACACCAGTTCACATGTATCAACTTGGTATATAGCTATAACTTGCATTTTAAATTGATAGACTTCTAATTTAACTTTGGCTGATCTTATTCTAATTTAAAATATTTACATTCACCAGATCAATTCAAGTTGACTATTACTTATGTTAGAATATATTTTTTTCTGGAAGAAAGCAACCATCTTTTAAAAGCTATATAATTTTCTACAGGTAGATCATTAACAGTGAGGGTCACTTAACAATAAGACAGAATCTGCAGAACAGTAATATATTTTGCTATATTTTGTGTCTGCTCTAGGGTGCTTTGGTCAGTGCAAGTGCAGATGATGCACTTCATTTGTGGAATCTCCGACAGAAGCGACCAGCTATCCTACATTCTCTGAAATTCAACAGAGAAAGGTATGACTGTGTGACTCAAATATCTCATTAATAAACTAACGAGACTTACTTTTTGGATTTCTAATAATACAAGCTTATTAGTTTGTCTTTCTGGAGGTGGATATAGTTTTATCTTGAAATTTTTTTTCCCTTTGTTAGGGGGCTGGTTAGCTCAGTCAGTTGAGCGTAGCGCTAACAGCGCTAAGGTCATGGGTTCGATTCCCTCTCGGTCCCCATGTGTTGCCTGATCTAGTTGAGAGGTGGCATCCCTGGCAGCAGGGAGGCTGGATTAAAATGATCTCTAAGGTCCCTTCCAGCTTAGGCCATTCTATGATTCTGCAGCCTCCCTGGAACTACAAAAATTTTGTCTGCTTTCCTCAAAATGTTTTTTATTTTACCTTCTATTTGCATGAGCTAGTGTGAAAAGTAGAGTGTTTGGGTTTAAGACCAGCACTGTGATCCTTTTGGCTGATCTGTTCTTCAGCACTAGCCAGAGTACTTCAGCTGGCTGTATCAGGTGAATAATTATTTTCTTTCTCTTGAAAGGGTCTTATTTTTGTAAAATACTGGAAGTTTAGCAGAAACAAATTGTGAATTTGGGAAACTATGGTAAATATCAAATTAATCAGAGACTGGTTTTCTAAATTTCTCTTTATCAATACTTAGCTGTAGAAATCCCTACTGAAAATAGATTAAATGAGTGGTTGTAGTTTTCAAACTCAAACAGAAACTGAGCATTTTAATCTGTCTTTAGCCACTCAAGTAAAGCCTGCTATGATATGGAGCTGGAATATTACACTTTTTTATTAATAAAAAGTTCTGGGTTCCTGTTAAAGAATTAGGCCAGTAGTCAGAAGACCAAGATTTAGTTCATAAATGCAGCAGTTGTTTTTTGTTTTGGGCTTTTTTTTGTGAGTTCTTGAGCAATACAGTTATTCTGTACTTCGTTGTTGGGATGATTTTTTCAAAATTTGAAAGCATTGATATAATACATAGTATGATTTTGACTGAAAGTTTAAGTGGTACTGTAATTCTCTCAGTATACACATTCTATACTAAAGTGCAGCAACTTCTTTTAGATATTTATACATTTGTTTGTGCAGTGGTGAAAGATATCAGTACGTTACAAGAGCTGTGGAGTCAACAGGTTGATCAAAGCTTTAGCTGCAGCAAATCTAAAAAATGTTGTGGAAATGGACTTTTTCTTTTCTTTTTTTATTATTTAGATATGTGATTTGCACTTAAATGTCACAAAGTTGCAAGTTTTGTTGTGGGAAGTACCACTTAGCAATTTAGAAAATATGCATACCGATTCCAAAGAGTTTATAACCTATAGCAAAATATGTCAAGTGGTTTGGGATTGTATGAGGGAAGATGAAGAAGAAAAACTAGATGTTGTACATTTGCTAGCAGCTTCTGGACAGTATGTCTTCATTTGACATAAGCTGAAATATTTGAGTCTTGGTATTTTCATCAGGTAGATACATTATCCACAATTTGTCATTGATAAATCTAAATCTTGTAAAAGTTATTCCTGTACATCTTAGTTTGCCTTTCCCAGCCAGCAACCTTTCCTACAACCCAAGGAATCAATACTTATAAGAATGTAGTGTCTGTTCACCTGTTTCTCTGTCATTTCTCTTCAGAGACATTAACGTGGTGTCTTGGTCAGAATTTTATCAGACTTTCTTGATAAAATAAACTCACACACATTTAGGATTTCTAAAAGGAAACTATTTGTCATCACATTTACCTAAATTTTCTTTTGCTTCTGACAGCTTAAAACATTGGGAAAAATGTTTGGAAGCAAGATATTTGGAACACTGGAAACCTTCGCATAAAAATAAATTTTGTGTAATGACACTTTTGAACAGAGGTTTGCAAAGAATCCCAAGTTGTAGTTGTTTGTAACAAATGCATAGCTAGCTCTGCTGACTTTGATAAAAGTGTACTAAGTTATGAGCAGAATAAACTACTGTGGGTTCCTTTATACATATTTTACTAACTGATACAATCACTGCCATTTAAGTAATTTTTATTAACACATCAGAGGCTATGAGCCAAATACCCTGACACATGACTATATAATATTGTCAAAGAAGTAAGTCTAGGTTTAAATTGAAAAAGAGTTTTCAATAAGTATGAAGAAATAACTGTGCAGGCACTTTTCTTCTTGGGGTTCTGCCCTAAAATTTTTGGGTTTTGTATTCCAGCACATGGCCCCAGAACAAAACCTATTTATTATGTTTTCTTTTAATATACGTATCCATTAGTTTCAGAGCATCTAAGTTTCAATGTTTTAAGTTCTATTACATATTTAGTATATGAAATTCAACATAAGTTTCTGGGCAAGTAGCAAAAAAATAAGGCTAAAACCCTAATTAACCTTTTTATTCATTTGGAATGTTTCTCTGTATATGTTCCTAACACAGTTAAGGCTAAAAGAGAGCTTCCATCTTTTTCTGAATAGATTTTTTGTGTTAAAGCACAGAATTTATGAGTTACAAGATGCTCAGAGAAACAGCAAATAATGGTTACCTTAGCTATAAGGAATTTATGGAAAAAAAGAGATACAAGGGGAATTTGGGAGACTGATAAAGCAATAAGATCAAAATTGATTTTCTTTATGTAATTCAAAGGCATGTCTTCCAAAAATTAATGTCTTCTTCATTGTTGGAACAGTTAAATTTTTTTTATTTTCATCTTCTCCCTTTGCAGGGGGAGGTTAAGGGGAGGCAAGATTCATGATAAAGAGAGTAAGATTATTTCTTTTGTTTTGTTTTAAGTTTGTGACCCAATAAATGAGCTGTTTTGAAGTTTCTTAAATGAGGAGAAGGGTTTGTTGACAGACAATAGGTTTTAAAATACTGATGCATGTCAGAGAACAGTAAGGTGTTGAAAAAGACCATATAGGGAAGTGTTTAGACAGTCAAAGGATCGTTCTTACAAGAACACCATTTATAATTTAATTTTAGATAGCTTTTACAGAGCCAAATACATAATTATGCAGACCTATTTTACCTACGAAAATGGGGCATATGTGGCTTCTTCAAATTTTTCTATTTGTGTGTCTCTCTTGAGGATACATAAAAACTGTAATTTGATTCATACAATATGTTTGTCTCGATGCATTTTATTTTAGATTTTTTTTCTGAACAAATGGCAGATTTACTTCACGAAGTGATGCAATATAATGCACTTAACTCTAATATTTTATCTGCTTATGATGAGGAAGATAATTGTAGTAACCCAAATTCTTGATTAATTTTACTTCAGTGAATTAGCTTTCATGTAGAATCGGGTTATTCTGACGTTTGTAAGTATTTGATGCATGAACTATATACAACTGTTAGATTCTGTTAGATGGATGTCTTTGGCTATTGCTCTGTGCACCAGTCTTCATACTGTCGAACTGTTGAGTTTGCAATTTGCTTCTGTGTCTTGACATTTAAGATTGCAGGATAAAATCTGCTCTTAGCAATGTTTCTGTGTATGTTTTTGAAACTACTTGAGTCAAATTTTCCCCAGCATATACATTTGTATATATTTCCCCCTTTTTCTCCCAGAACGGTAAAAGCCATGGTGTTCATAACAACATATATGCAAAGAGCAAAGAATTCTTAAATGCAGCACATTAGTTATCTTTCACTTACCATGTAGCATTAAGCATTCAGACACTGAATGGCTAACAAAATGCACTTTTGTAGCCGTTAAGTCATAGTTTGCACCTATCCAGATTTTTTTCTTCTTCTGGACTACTGTTAAACTAATGCTGATGCAACAGTAGCAACATTAATTTGTGTCTGATAATTCACTGCTCCTTTACCGTCTGTTTGGAGCACTGTAGAAGGAAAACTGAGGAGTGAGACATAATGGCAAACTGATATTTTTGTTCTACAGTGTAATGCTCTGGAGTTTTTAGCAAGTTATGTGGTTTTGCTTTGAATCAAAGTATAGGATTATCATCTTAAATTTCTATTACTATAATTGGAATGTACTAAAAACCTTCCAGATAACATAGGTGTAAGCAATGTATTTCAGTTCCTAGCCCCACACCAAGAGCAATAATGATAACGTGGTTACTCAAAGACACGCTTGACGGTAGGATACAGTTGATAATATATGATTTGCTGTTCCATTTACAAATACGTTGGACAGGTAAAACCTTTTAACCTCTGGAAACATTTCGTAAGAGTCTTTTCAGTACTTCTGAAGAGCGCTGTTATGATGATGTTCCTTATGTTGGTCCCTGCTTTTCCTTCTCTGATCTCGTAGGAGATGCCAGATTCATCTTCCATAGACATTTAAGGCAAAATAAATAGCTCAGCTACTGGAAACAGACACAATCTCTATCTGCCACAAAGAAAATTAGGATTATGCTAAACCACTGAAAACTATAATAGGCCTTACTTATTTTTAATATAGTCCGAGCAGACTTCAGCAAGTACATCTTTAAAATGTACAACAGTGTATATAGTTTAAGATTAACACAAGCAGGATAGGCAAAACCAGCAAGGATTACAGCATGAAATTCAGGGCCTTTAGGCCTGCACACATTAGTTTCACTTCCAAACACAGTTTGTCTCCTGTTACTCTGAAGCAGAACTAGTTCAGTTGTGTTGACTGACACGGGGGATAGCTCTCCTTCTTTCAGACAGTGCTGACTGCGTGTTAGAAGTGAGCCCACAGCGCTACAGTTTATCCACTGACTTACACCGAGCATACAGGAACATGGCTTGAGAGTTCTGTTGTCTTTAAATCCATCTGCCTGCACTGTGCACCAATGCCATGACAATAGTACAAGTGCCCTTCCACAGGGGTGTCACCAGGTGACAAAATCTGTGTAACTGGCTTTGAAGCTCTGATCTGTTACACTTTCTTCAGTGTTAAGGGTGTGCTGGTACATATTACTGCAATGCTTGGAAGCAAAGAGAAAAAAAACAGGTATTTTTGGATCAGGTATATTTTGGATCTGGTGACTTTTTTGTGTGTCTTGGTCTGTATTCTCTCCCGAGAGTAGC